AGAGGAGAGGAGAGGAGAGGAGAGGAGAGGAGAGGAGAGGAGAGGAGGCCCTCACACAACATCCACTCCTGAAATTCAAGAGTATAGTGTATATATTGCTTCAAAACGAAGATGGAATTGGTTCCATCGTCTATCAATGTCCATGTCTTTGGTCTTAGTGCCTCAGAAGCTGGAAGAGAGGCCTCAAGTCCCCAAACATCGCCCCAATCCTCCCAGGCCTGGCGGTCCAGAGCGACTCCGACAGCGAGTCGGACCGGTGGACGGTCGCGTGGGGCGCTGGGCGCGGACCTTGCGTCGTCGTCCGTGACACCCGAGGTGAGCGTCCAGCTCCAGGTATGTCCAGGTCACCGACATACCTGACCAGGTGTCCGCCAGGTATGCCAGGTATGTCCACGTCGTTTTGTTTGGCTGAAACATTCCACACAGCGATTCCGCAAAGCTTCCGCATTTCAGATCACACATGGACCAGCTAAAACTCCGCTGTGGGTGATGTCCAAAATCCGACTTACACGAACGCCAACATTGGAAACCGTGAAGCTCTCTCCAAGAACCATTGAAAGGAGGGTTGGATGGTGTTTGGTTGTTGCAGGGTAGCAGTCCAACCTGAGAAGTGCCTCTCCACTTCTTCATGCTCTTTCTCGAGGAGTACTCCAGCATGAGCTCTGAGGAGGTGGCGGCACGTTGACTGGTCACTGTTTGTATGCATCATGGTAGAAACTGGAGGGTCCGTTTTACAGATGTTTGCAGTGTTGTTCTGTTTGAATGAGTGGCAGAAAGTTATTGTTTCAGTATCTTTGTATCACTTGCAAGTGGGAGGAAACCGGTGAAAGCATGCTTGGTTTCCTGAGACCTTCAACATCTTGGCCAGCCCTTGGATGTCATCTCTTTGGCACCCTTTAACGCCGCACAACAGATTGGGTGCGCCAGGCTCCCCTGGTGATCCTTAGTCGGACAAGGATCCTCCTTTTCCTTTCGGCTTGGGCTGATTGAACCAGTTTCAGCCTCCCAAGAGTCAGTATGTGATATACCGTCGATCTTTGTGTCTTGTGTCACCTTTTTGACTCATTTGGCGCCCCTTTTTGTGCCTCAATGAACGATATTTCCTGGAACAACGATAAATTGGTTCTAGATATTGTTGGATCACCATCATCAGGTGTGGGAAGGCAATGAGATGCCCAACATTGGACAACAGCGCTTTGCCGTTTCTTTGGTCTACAGGCCACAGGGAACATCGAACTCTACAGAAAGCGATGATATGTTCAAAAGTCAGAGAAAAACACTCGCATGTCCCAACATCTTATTTTGGAGCCCCCCTACTGAGTGGTTGCATACATTTTTCCACATCAAGTCACTTGAAACAGTCAAAACATAAAAACTAAATACGACCCCTTGTTTGGACCATCTCGCCCCCTGTTTGGACCATCTCACCGCAGGCGATGGCGGAGCCAGTGCAAACAGTGCCTCCTCCAGGCAGGGATCTCGCTCCCAGCAGTGGCCTTTTTGTGTGGTATGTCTTCCAGGTGAAGGGATCTGAAACCAGGTGGTGGCCATTTTGGAGCGCCGAGGTCAAAACCCCGTGTTTTCTTCCCCCGTTGGTCCTGAAAATCCCCTAAAAAGGACCATAGGTTGTTCGCCTCGGCAGCGAACAACCTGAAGTTCGGCCAACGGCCGAGACTGGGAGGGGTGGAGAAGAGGCGATGTCCGGCCTTGAGTGGGGTCACAGGGACTGAAAAACCGTCTCATCCTTTAAGCTGTTGTGGCAAGTGGGATCATATTATAAGCTTCACTGAAAGAAGAAGCCAGCAGAGGGTCTCAACTTCCAATAAGTGGAGGTTGTCCATGGATTTATGGACAGCTTTGTTGGGATCCACTCTCATCCTTCTCAATTTGTGTTGAAGTATACACGTATGGGGTTGCTCCGTCTGCATCTCTGAGATCAAGCTAGTCTGTCTTAGGCCCTTCTGCCGGCACTGCTAGCATCATTGAAGCCTCATAAACACCTCTGCTCCCCACTCTTGGGTTAGGCCTAGCACTCCAGGGGGTGAATCTCAACGTCGACCAGCATGTCAGAACAAATGGAATTGACATGAACTGACCAGATTGGCCAGCTTGCGAGCACATACACCGGAGTCATATCCACTCACCGGCTTCTGCTTCTGAGGCGCTTCTTCGGTGGTGCCAGCCAAGGCCTCTAAGGAGGCCACGGCCAATGGCAGGAAGAAGGCCAACAGGAGCGGAGACGGGGAATTGGGCGGGGTCGGGCAGTGAGCTAGAAGGCCTCAAGGAACATGCTGAAGCTTCAGATGGAAAAAGGGTTTCGGTTTATGATTCCTGCATATTTGGATGGGGGTTGCCACAATGGCCGAAAGCAAAGGCAGGATGGCCAGATCCAAGCCTGCTTAAACAGTAGCCAAAAGATGCTTTTTAAGTGCCAGCCACTTGGATACTTTTTGTTTCGGTCTAAATCTTAGCAACGCTTGAGTTCAAGACTTTCGCCAACCGTCAGGTGGCTGAGCGGCCAAATGCTCTGAGTTTGTTGGTTCTAGAAGTTCTATATTGTACATATATAGTTGGCAAAGGTTCCGAGAAGCCAACACTCACGATGAAGCGCCCGACTCCACCTGAGCTTCTTGACCCAGATGGTTCTGGAAATGATTGGGTTCTTTGCACATGGCATGGCGGGACCTTAGGATGTGGTTCAAGGCTTAATGAGGCTTAAGAGCGGGTGGTAGATAAATCATTTGAATTTGGACGGGTTTGATGTGATTTGATGTTATTGTTCAACATTATCATGCAAGAGGCTTTCCTCCAGGCGGTTTCCTTTTTTGGTTGGATGCTTGTGGATGATCACGGCATTTGATGTAGGTAAGAATCCAAACAGTGATGGTCTTCTAATTAGGTGCTCCAGTTGGTGATGATATAAACAAGGGAGTTACTGTACCAGCGACATGGGGGTGCGGAGATGTTTATCACACAGTGATGTGTTTGTTGTTCCCCTACTGTATACTCTTAAAGGTGAAATTACAGCAGCAATCGCACGGGCTTTGGCACATTGGTGCGGGAGGATTCTACACAGGACACGTTCTGTGTTGTGTGTTTTTGCTTCGGCATCCTTCAGGGCTTCCCTTCCGCCGTCCGTCGAACGCGCCGTCGAACGCGCTCCAGGAAGAAAGAGGATCCGGCGGTCCGAAACAAGTTGCTTGGTCCGGGCCTTGCACAACGAGGAATCTCAGATCGGCAAGCGGGTAGCAAACATGCGCTCCCAGCGGGTGGGTCGTGCCGTTGGGAAGACACGGATTCCTTCCCCAGCCTGATGCTTTCTAATTGTCAACTGCTAGACTCAGCCTAACCTTCTGAACAGGTGTTTGAGAGCTAGATACCTTCTAAGGAGGCACATGGAGCCCCAGGGTCACTAGTGACCAGTGCGGCTCAGGTGGTATGGTTTATCCATTGCCCATCGCAGGATGCCCCGCGCCGAAAACTAGCCTCCCAGAACTTGATTCAAGTGGAGTTTGTAATGAGAGGACCACCGGAGACGACCACCTGCGAGTTCTAAGTGGCCTTCACCATTGTGAGTGTCGCGTCAGGGCCCACGTGCGCCGCCCATTTCGGATGCAACGCCTGTGTTTGTGGCCTTTGATTTGGACACCTTTAGGATCTCCTTGGCACCTCTTTGGTGCCCTCAGACCTTCAAAAGGGCGCTGGGGCGGCGCGTGTTGACTTGCCGAAACCTTCATCCGACTTAGACTTAGACCCCCGGAATTGCACGAAAGCCGAGAGGGTGAAGATTGTATGGGAAAGCCGAGAAAGCCTACAGGAAATCAGGTCTTTCACCTCCATAACATTGAGTTTCCTGCCGATTTTCCACCCAATTCCGGGAGTATATGGATATCGATTAAGCATGCTTAATTAAGTCATGATTGAGTTGGACGTTTGAGGCCAGATTTTCTTAGAGCTCTCCAACTTCTGCGGCACGCCCAAGCGCGTCACTGTGAAGGCACACGTCGCCGGGTTTTTGACGAACTGTTTCGTTTCAGAGTTGGCACAGGTTGGCACCTGCCCCGCTAGCCCATTTTGGGAAGCCGTAGCAAGACGCTCTTTTTAAGTCTGTCCAGCTGCTCGGAGTTGGTTCAGCTGTTCGGAGTTTCGCCATGGGGCACCTGGAGCGCTTCGTGCTCGCGAGTCTCTTGGCAACCGTTACCACGGCCTTGGATGTGGTGGTGGTTGGGGCTGGGATGGGCGGCCTGAGTGCTGCAAAGAAGCTCCAAGAGAACGGTCACAGCGTCACCCTCTTGGAGGGAAGAGATCGCATTGGTGGTCGTACGTGGACCAGTTGCTGGGTGGTGATTTTCAAGAGATGTTGATGTTCCACCTTTACTTCAAGATGTTTATTTTCCCCACCAACTCCATTTTTGGTTCGTGATTGAAACCACCCACCAGGCCATGAATTGGGCTTCCCGACAGACCTCGGCGCCAGCTGGATTCATGGAGCTAGCGCTCAGAACCCTTTGACGCCCTTGGTGACGGAATTTGGCATCGCCACAGTCGATGATCCGGATGAGCAGAGGTGTCGCAACCTGCCTGGCAAGTAAAGTAAACACATCACGCGATGCAAAAGATGTGAACATCATACACCATCCAATTCCCAATGAAGTGGTTCATGTGCTCTTCAATCTTGAGATTCTTGGTGTATTAGTGAACGTGATCTATTCCATTTGAGGCTATGACAAGGATGGGTACAAGTACCGAGCATGGGAGCTTGCTAGCTATGAAAGCTATTGCTGGAGCGCTGAGTCATCAGGGTATGCTCCCACAACAGGCACTTTGGAGAGTGCATTGAGGCCTTGGGTCGTTGAACTTGCCTTTGTTCTTTTTGATTTTCCCCGTTGTCAGGTGAGGAGTCTCTAAAAAATGGTCAACCCACCTCAGTAGACAACTTTAATATAATCCTGGCGTTTGTGATGCTAATGATGCACTACTCAGTGTCATATTATCTCTGCTGAGGCTGAGGTCCACTGCCACTCCTCTCACATTCTCCACATTCTCCCGCCACCTCCTCCCGTCCTGCCACTTCCTCCTTTCAGACGATGCGGGCTGCAGAGTGATGCGCGCTCCATTTTTGACAGGTGACAGAGATATGTCAGAACACAAGGTGACAGAGCACATTTCAAACGACATGTCAAAACACTTCAGACGAATGTCAGAACAAGCTCAACACATAGCAGAGCAAGTGCCAGAACATGCAGCATCAAAAGTATTAAAGTATTCAAATGTCAGAATACGTGACAGAACAAACTTCGGAACTTATATCAGAATAGAAGATGGACCGTATGTTTCACATGCATAACCCCAACTACTAAAGGTCTAGGATGGGAGGGGCTCTATGTACTTCCAGGCATAGGGTCTAGGATACTCACTGTGTGCATAGTAGACCCTAAATCGTTGAGCATTTTAGACCTTTTCAACGTTTCAGACTTGTCACCTTCAAATGCTTTCAGATTTCATTTTGGTATAGAGCCATTTTGGTTCGACAATCGACCAATGGAGAAGAATGATGTGCCCACCAGGATGCTATCTCAAAACACACGCGCAAGGAATCAAACCGCCCACCAGGATGCTATGTCAAAACTCACAAGGAATCAAAACTCTTCAGACCCCTTCGGTAAATCATCAGGTGAATGCCCATGAATGTCCTCCATACTGATCCAGTTCTCAGA